ACGAGACAACGCGTAGTAGAAGTGCGTTGCGAAGCTGTGAATCCTACAAGGTTGCAGTGGACTTGTGCGTGACACAGTAGAGCGCAAAGTCGTTGTTGTATCCGAACTTGCTGGTGTGCAATCGGAGTTGTTGCGTGGAGCCTATTGGGTGTTGTGGTCGACGTCGTTGTCGTCATGTTGTAGCCGAACGAGCAGAGGAGTTGTAGCAGTTGTCAAGTCATACAAGCCAACAGTAGGGCAAAAGCAGAGCGCAGCTAAGTGAAAATATAATTTGACTACTAATGTTTTGTATATGTAAATTAACCTTTTGCTTATCGAATTAATTATCATTGCCATTTATTGCTAACGATATATGTACGTATGTTTCCTCTTGGCCATCACATGTAGGAGTTAGAGCAGAAATAATCTGAACGATATATGTTTAAAAGTTAGGTTTCGATGGTGGGCAGAATGTTTTAAGCATTTTAAACTGTACATGTTTTACTTTGTTGATTTAAAATCCGTTGCAAATAAATATTTGTCCATGGATTTGTGAAAAAAAGAAAGAAAAGTATCAAAAAGAAAGTTTTGTAACTACATAACGAAAGATTAATCTTACTAATTAGTACTCGTATGTACGGTGGCTCAGGTTGAGAAGATTGATTAACGAAAAATCGATAAACAATTGTCGTAATTAAGTTTGTTACGATGCTGTTCAGGTTAAGGATTTGATATTTTACGCATTTTGTAAGTGGAAACGGTTGACAATGGAGACAAGAAATTTTAGAACTGAACGTAGCCGGACTGAAACAGAAATTGTTAGAGTTAGGACTGGCCACTTCAGGACGGAAAGTCACGCTACAGGACCGACTACTTGAGCACTTCGGTCTGAATGCCGATAGCGAAGATGAGGACACTAGTGNAAGTCACGCTACAGGACCGACTACTTGAGCACTTCGGTCTGAATGCCGATAGCGAAGATGATGACACTAGTGGTGATGTCGATGCAGCTTCCGTTTAGGATAACGCTGGTTCGTCCCCATCAAGGGAAATGCCAAATAGCTTTCATGAGCGTACCTGCTTCACATTGCGCGATATAGAAGACTAGTTGACGTCCTTTAGTGGGTCGGGTCAGCCACAGGTTGAGGAATGGCTGGAAGATTTCCAGCAAAACGGTATCGCAGTTAATTGGAATGGGCTCCAAAAATTCATATATGCTAAACAGCTGCTAAAAGGGCTGCCAAAATTTTTATACGCAGTCAGCGCCATGTCACTGACTGGGACTCGCTGAGGCAAGCACTGATATCGGAATTTGGAGTTAAGGTATCGTCGTTAGAGGTGCATCGCAGGTTACGGAACCGCTGTAAGCACAACAACGAGGACCTTAAAGAATACCTCTACTCCTTGATGGAGATCGGGAAGCCAGTAAAGCTGGACGGTATGAGTCTCATTGAGTACTTTATAGATGGCATCCCCGACTCGAAACAAAATAAGATTAACTTGTATCAAGCCAAAACCGTAGCGGAACTCAAGGAGCAGATAAGCACATATGAAAAGGTGCGGTGTAGCCGCCAGCAAGCGACTACCCCGAATCCAAATAGCTGACCGCCAGAAGCAGAATTCCTGTTAACCCGAATGCACGCGTAAAGGAGGCAAGAAGGNTGGGTCGGGTCAGCCGCAGGTGGAGGAATGGCTGGAAGATTTCCAGCAAAACGGTATCGCAGTTAATTGGAACGGGCTCCAAAAATTCATATATTCTAAACAGCTGCTAAAAGGGCTGCCAAAATTTTTATACGCAGTCAGCGCCATGTCCCTGACTGGGACTCGCTGAGGCAAGCACTGATATCGGAATTTGGAGTCAAGGTATCGTCGTTAGAGGTGCATCGCAGGTTACGGAACCGCTGTAAGCACAACAACGAGGACCTTAAAGAATACCTCTACTCCTTGATGGAGATCGGGAAGCCAGTAAAGCTGGACGATATGAGTCTCATTGAGTACTTTATAGATGGCATCCCCGACTCGAAACAAAATAAGATTAACTTGTATCAAGCCAAAACCGTAGCGGAACTCAAGGAGCAGATAAGCACATATGAAAAGGTGCGGTGTAGCCGCNCGAGGACCTTAAAGAATACCTCTACTCCTTGATGGAGATCGGGAAGCCAGTAAAGCTGGACGATATGAGTCTCATTGAGTACTTTATAGATGACATCCCCGACTCGAAACAAAATAAGATTAACTTGTATCAAGCCAAAACCGTAGCGGAACTCAAGGAGCAGATAAGCACATATGAAAAGGTGCGGTGTAGCCGCAAGCAAGCGACTACCCCGAATCCAAATAGCTGACCGCCAGAAGCAGAATTCCTGTTAACCCGAATGCACGCGTAAAGGAGGCAAGAAGGTGCTTTAAGTGTGGGAGCACTTCTCATCGGGCCAAGGACTGTCGCAGATCGTTTAAATGTTTCAGGTGCGGCCAACCAGGACACCGAGCTGCTGACTGTAGGAGCGCTCCAGCTGCTATCAAAATGGAGAGCCATAACGACAACACTCTAGGAGACGATATACGCGGCAGGATAGGAACAGCGGGCAGATGCATCTTCGTAGACGTTAAGCGGAACCATATAACATTCTCCGCTCTAGTCGATACAGGGTGTGACCTGTGCTTACTGCGGTATGACACTTTGCTTATGCTGGATAGTGATATTGAATTGGTCGGCGATCGACGTCGTCTGGTAGGAGTAGGGAAAGGCGGGCTAACTACATTAGGTAGTTTCACTAGAGCGTTTAGCATCGACGAGATGGAGCTGGAAATCACGTTTCATGTGACCAGGGAACGCGATATGAAGTATGCAGCAGTAATCGGTAACGACATCCTGAAACAGGTAACCTTAGTCGTTCACGAGGATGTAGTGGAATTTAAGCCGAAAATTAAGACATCAGAAGAAATCAGCAACACCGCGGTTCGAAACAGAACCTGATCTATGGAGCGAGTTTGATGGCCTATGTGTAACAATGATGGAGGAGCGAGCCCGAGCTCGACTTGTCACATCTCAGCAAGGAGAAGGCAAATCTTGTAAGGGAGTGGGTCAGCAGCTATGCGCCNTTCTAGTGGAATTTAAGCCGAAAATTAAGACATCAGAAGAAATCAGCAACACCGCGGTAGCAATTATCGAAACAGAACCTGATCTATGGAGCGAGTTTGATGGCCTATATGTAACAATGATGGAGGAGCGAGCCCGAGCTCGACTTGTCACATCTCAGCAAGGAGAAGGCAAATCTTGTAAGGGAGTGGGTCAGCAGCTATGCGCCGAGGAAGACACGCAAAACGCCAGTGGAGATGAAAATTTTGTTGGCCGACGAAACACCATTATACGCGGGGCCACGACGTATGTCACACGCAGGCAAGTGCAGCGTGGAGGAGCAGGTAGCAACATGGATGAGAGAGCAACATGGATACAACGCAGCACATCGGAGTACGCATCGCCTGTCCTATTGGTCGCTAAGAAAGATGGCAGCAAGCGCCTTTGCTGCGATTACAGACGGCTCAACGAGAAGATAGTAAGGGACAATTTTCCGATGCCACTAATCGACGATGTGGTTGAAAGGTTGCACGCGGAAACGTTTTTGCTACACTCAATCTCACCAATGGATTCTTCCATGTACCGGNAACGCGAAACGCCAGTGGAGATGAAAATTTTGTTGGCCGACGAAACACCAGTATACGCGGGGCCACGACGTATGTCACACGCAGACAAGTGCAGCGTGGAGGAGCAGGTAGCAACATGGATGAGAGAGCAACATGGATTTAACGCAGCACGTCGGAGTACGCATCGCCTGTCCTATTGGTCGCTAAGAAAGATGGCAGCAAGCGCCTTTGCTGCGATTACAGACGGCTCAACGAGAAGATAGTAAGGGACAATTTTCCGATGCCACTAATCGACGATGTGGTTGAAAGGTTGCACGCGCCAAACGTTTTTGCTACACTCAATCTCACCAATGGATTCTTCCATGTACCGGTTGAGGCTAGTTCGAGAAAGTACACTTCATTCGTGACTCACAATGAACAATACGAATTCCTTTACGTCCCGTCTGGAATTTCGAACTCGCCGGCCGTGTTCTCCAGGTTCATTTTTGCAGTTTTCCGTGACATGATACAAAACGGTACCGTCGACGCTTACATGGACGACCTCATCATTCCCGCCAAGGAGATCAACGAGGAAGTTCCAAAGGTGGGAGCCGTTTTTGGGCTACGTTATACAAGGGGGTACTATCAGGCCATCTGAGGCTAANACGATGCCACTAATCGACGATGTGGTTGAAAGGTTGCACGCGCCAAACGTTTTTGCTACACTCAATCTCACCAATGGATTCTTCCATGTACCGGTTGAGGCTAGTTCGAGAAAGTACACTTCATTCGTGACTCACAATGAACAATACGAATTCCTTTACGTCCCGTTTGGAATTTCGAACTCGCCGGCCGTGTTCTCCAGGTTCATTTTTGCAGTTTTCCGTGACATGATACAAAACGGTACCCGTCGACGCTTACATGGACGACCTCATCATTCCCGCCAAGGAGATCAACGAGGAAGTCCAAAAGGTGGGAGCCGTTTTTGGGCTACGTTATACAAGAGGGTACTATCAGGCCATCTGAGGCTAAGACGAGGGCGGTCGAAAACTTTCCAATACCACAGGATCGTAAGGCTGTGCAACGGTTTTTGGGCCTGACATCCTATTTCAGGCGATTCATAGAGGGGTATGCAGTGGTCGCTAAACCACTTTCGGACCTTCTGCGACGCGATGCGAAATTTACGATAAAAGAAGAGCAGCTACTGGCATTCAAACAATTGAAGGCTCCAGTATTGCGGTTATACAATCCCAAGGCGATGACGGAGGTGCACACGGATGCGTCGATGTATGGNGACGCGATGCGAAGTTTACGATAAAAGAAGAGCAGCTACTGGCATTCAAACAATTGAAGGCTCCNAACGCGATGCGAAATTTACGATAAAAGAAGAGCAGCTACTGGCATTCAAACAATTGAAGGCTCCAGTATTGCGGTTATACAATCCCAAGGCGATGACGGAGGTGCACACGGATGCGTCGATGTATGGTTATGGGGCAGTCCTTCTCCAAAAGGATGCTGACGATCAGCTGTTCCACATCATACAATACATGAGCCGGAAAACAACAGAAACTGAAGAAAAATGTCATTCCTACGAGCTGGAAGTGCTGGCCATTGTCGGGGCACTCAAGAAGTGGCGTGTCTATCTGCTGGGGCTGAAATTTAAAATCGTTACGGATTGTAACGCGTTCGAGATGAGGATGCGGAAAAGGGACACTCCATTAAGAGTCACCCGTTGGGCGTTATTCTTTCAAGATTTCAACTACGAAATCGAACGCCGAAGCGGGAGCAAGATGACACACGTCGACGCCTTAAGCCGAGTTTCTTGCTTGCTGTTGGAAGATTCATTGCAGCACCGACTGCAACAAGCGCAGATGATGGACCCCTGGATCAAGGCGGTTATGAAGGTACTTGAGAAGGATGAATATGAGGACTTTTTTATAAAGCATCAGGTATTGCATAAAGACCCCATTAAGGAACTGATTGTCGTGCCCGAGTCTATGGAGGAAGAAATTATCAAAGTTGCTCATAACCAGGGTCATTTCTCACCGAAAAGGACGCAAGAAGCAGTCGAGAAGACTTTCTACATCCCACAGTTGTCTACAAAAGCGGCGAAAATAGTGAAGAGTTGCGTCGAGTGCATCGTTGCGGAGAGTAAGTCAGGGAAGATGGAGGGTTATCTGACGCCAATAAGTAAGGAAGATAGGCCACTAGGGACCTACCACATCGACCATCTGGGACCAGTGGAAACGACGTCGAAGCGATATAGTTACATCTTCGTTGTAGTGGACGCCTTCTCAAAGTTTGTGTGGCTCTACGCATCGAAAACCACGGCAGCAGGTGTCGTCATAAACCAGTTGAAGTGGCAGGCGGCGACGTTTGGGAATCCGAAACGCATCATCTCGGATCGCGGCGCGTCTTTGACTTCCTTCAGAGAATACTGCGAGCACGAAGGAATACAGCATCTCCTGGTAACCACGGGTGTCCCCAGAGGAAATGGGCAGGTGGAACGCATACACAAGATAATCATCCCGATGCTTGCGAAAATGTGCGTCGACGTTCCCAGTCAGTGGTACAAACACCTTGAGCGAGCCAACACATCAATAACACGTCGCCGCGAAGTACGAAGATCTCACCCTTCAGGCTGTTAACGGGATTCGAAATGCGAGTTAACGTCATCCCTGAATTGCGACAGCTCATAGAGGACGCCGCCATCGAGGAGTTGGACACTGAGCGGGAAGAGTTGCGAAAGGAAGCACAGGAAAGCATCAACAAGATCCAGCAGGAGAATCGTCGATCTTTTAACAAGAAGCGGAAAGAAGCGGTGAAGTACCAGATCAACGAGCTAGTAGCCATTAAGCGGACACAATACGGTGTTGGTCTTAAGCTGAAGCCGAAGTTTTTGGGCCCCTACAAAATTACGAAGGTCTTGGGCCACGACAGATACGAGGTGCGGAAGGTGGGTGAACATGAAGGTCCCGGAAATACTACAACAGTCGCCGAATATATGAAAAAATGGGAGCCGGCAGTCGAGCCACCAAGCGTGTCATCATTCGAGCCGAATGATCGGTCAGGAGGTCCGAATGTGGGATTGGGTCCGAGTAGACGGTAACACTGACGTTAGTCCTTAAATATAGGCAACCCTACTGACCGAACTTAACGAACGCACGCCAATGATGGCTGACCTAACTGTAGGCAAAGAACATAAAATTGAATTCATTGTCGACCGTCGCCGCGATTGTTTGCCTGCCACCGCGATTAACATAAGTTTGCCAAACCAAAATTGTACTGTATGTATTACATTTAAAGAATTCAATAAAATATAAAGTAAATGAAAATAAAACACTCGGCATCCTACATACATATAAATGAAATGCAATGAACGTCGAAACGATTTTCACTCTTCATTTCAGAGATATATACAAATCGCCTTTTCACGGCACCCATGTAGTTCTAAAATTTTGCAAATTGTTTGTGACCTTACCGCAGTGTTCGAAGAGTTTGGATTTACGCCTCCGTGTGTGTTTCGTACGTGCTGATTTAGCTCGGCTTTCGACATAAATCCTTCCCCGCAACTAATGCATGGATATGGCTGGTCGCCAGTGTGAACCCTGTTAAGTCCCAAACTTAAGATTATTTTCGTAGATTTTGACAATTTGAATATTACCTCATGTGAGATACCAACGTACGCTTTTGTAAAAACTCTTTGCCACACAAGGTGCAGGAGTGTGGCACTTTTCCGTGTATACGACCATGGTTCACCAACTGGAATTTGCGTGGAAAAGTAGCGCCGCAATCTGGACATACGAATGGATTCAACGATCCATGAAAACTGAAAAAAAAAATAATTTAGACAATGTAACAGAAAATTCACAGCAACATAATATTTTTAATCCTTTCTCCACTAACCGTGAATGCATTATTAGGTGATTCTCCTGAGCAAAACTTTCTCCACATTCTTCACAAACGTATGGTCGTTCACCAGCGTGAAATTTGCTATGTGTTACTAAATGCCGNAGATCCATGAAAACTGAAAAAATAATAATTTAGACAATGTAACAGAAAATTCACAGCAACATAATATTTTTAATCCTTTCTCCACTAACCGTGAATGCATTATTAAGTGATTCTCCTGAGCAAAACTTTCTCCACATTCTTCACACACGTATGGTCGTTCACCAGCGTGAAATTTGCTATGTGTTACTAAATGCCGCTTCAAGGGGAACGTGCGCCCACATTCGGGGCAAATAAATGGCCGATCACGACTATGAACACGTGAGTGTGTCAACAGGTGGTGTTTCAAAGTAAAACTTTTCTTGCATTCGGTGCACTGAAAGGGTCGATCAGTTGAATGCAAAAGAAGATGCGTGTTAAGGCAATGCTTATGAGCAAAGCTCTTGCTGCAATGCACACACACATGCGGCCGCTCGCCTGCAATATAAAAATTTCCCACAGTCACGATAAAAAAATACTCAATAGATATTATTTGATATTAAAATAAATAAATAAATAAATAATTTGAAAAGTGCCTTACCTGTATGTACCCGCGCATGTGTTGTTAAATGATGTTTCAGGAGAAACGACTTGCCGCATTCATCGCAACTATATGGACGCTCTTTCTTAACGGTAGCATCGTTCTAAATAGTGAGTAAAGCAAAAAAGACCAAATTCAATGTGCCGATAAAAAGTCAAGATCGCTTGCTTACCTCATTATAGTTCATATTATCTTGCAACTCAGTTTTAGGAGATAGCTCCAATGTACCAGGCTCCAACTTTAAGTTGGGTGCATCCCCTTGTGAATCTTCAGTTTCCTCTAAACCTTGAATAACTTTCTGAACTTGTACCGAAATCCCCGGCAAAATGTCACCTGGGAGTGCATTAAAGTCAGGAAAAAGATCAGAGAAAACGAACACAAACAGCAATTAACTTTTTGTAGATTTTTAGGATTAGTTTTGCAAACATAAAATATAATGTCATGATTTCAAATGTGTTAGTCTTAGTATCGTGGTTGATGGCTCAGTAGTAACCCAATTGCAAAAGCCGATCCGGTCGTCCGCATACGTGGCATTTACTACAAGTCCAGCTTGAAGTGATCGAATACATTTTTAGGTGTTGCTGAGTAATTTTGATACCATAAAAAAATATTTTATTTGATTTTGAATTCATCGCAGATAAACTAAAGTTATTATTAAGTAATATTATCAAACAAAAAAATCTTAACAAAAAAAGTATTGATGTGAGATTTTACAAGTAATTTTTAGCAAAAAAAAAACAGACTTCAACTCTCATATAAAAATATATATATATATATATATATATATATATCTCATGATCCACTGATCGGATCTTAACCAGATATTAGTATGGGACTACCTTTCCGATGCAAAAAGAATTATCGAAATCGGTTGACGTGGTCCAAAGTTATGCGGTAACATACATAAAAAAAAAGAAAAAAAAAAGAAAAAAAAGAAAAAAAAAAGAAAAAAAGAAGAAAAAAAGAAAAAAAGAAAAAAAGAAAAAAAAGAAAAAAAAAGAAAAAAAAGAAAAAAAAAAGAAAAAAAAGAAAAAAAGAAAAAAAGAAAAAAAAGAAAAAAAAAAGAAAAAAAAAAAGAAAAAAGAAAAAAAAGAAAAAAAAATATTCCGACGAACTGATAACCTCCTCCTTTTTTGGAAGTCGGTTAATAATAAACGATATAATGAGAAAAATTAGGATATATTTTAAGATGGGCTAATATTATAACCACTAATCTAAAATGCGTGCTAAATAACTTTCAATATTTTCGAAGCTTATATGTACGTTAGCGCTCTTGTTAAAAATCGACTATCCGGCTATTCGGTTAGTCGAATAGTAGATTAGCAACTTTTTTGAGAGTTAATATTCAAATAGCAATTATTAGATTAACCGCTCGTATTCGACTAACCATTCACTTTCGACTAACCGCTCACTATAGAGTATTTTAATTTTTTTTTACAATTTATAGCCAGTTTCATGAAAAAAATCACTTCACTTAAAGTGTTTTCGTAAATCCGGCAGTTAAACTTTTATTTATATGGCTTTTACTACAGATTGCACCATGGTAGAANTGAGTTAATATTCAAATAGCAATTATTCGATTAACCGCTCGTATTCGACTAACCATTCACTTTCGACTAACCGCTCACTATAGAGTATTTCAATTTTTTTTTTACAATTTATAGCCAGTTTCATGAAAAAAATCACTTCACTTAAAGTGTTTTCGTAAATCCGGCAGTTAAACTTTTATTTATATGGCTTTTACTACAGATTGCACCATGGTAGAAAAAAGAAGGTAGTTCACTTAATGTCATTGGATTATGGATTGGATTATATCATGGATTATGACATTTTCACCAAAATCTAGCTAAAAGACTGAAAATAATAATAAAAAAATTTTCTGAAAAGAATTTGATCGACAAAGCANGGATTGGATTATATCATGGATTATATCATGGATTATAACATTTTACCAAAATCTAGCTAAAAGATTGAAAATAATAATAAAAAAATTTTCTGAAAAGAATTTGATCGACAAAGCAAAAAAAAAATTCATAACTTTTTAAAATAATAAAAAGAAAAATTAGATGCGCATTTGGAAGCAGCAAAAAATGCAAAATGCAACTGCAAGGAAGACGGTACAAAATTTTTTAATTTTCAGCGCTTCCTTCTAAAATATCCGTATCTACATATCGCACGTTTAATAATATAACGAAATGTTTCAAAATTTCAATTTTGTTTGAAAACACAATCAAAGTTTTATCAATTCATACAGTTGATATACAAAATAACAGATGGAAAGCCACATATCTTTGCAATCTTTGGGAAGTTTGCTTATCTGTTAGATTCAACATATTCTACTTATCAAGTTTATTAATTGCATGATGAAATCTCCAAAAACGTAAATTTTGAATTACATGTCTATATTATTAAACGTGCGATATGTTCTCAACATTTTGCTACCACGGATATTAGCATTAGCCAGAACAAGACCATACTCTCCAAAAGTGCAGTGCCGCGAAATGAAAGGTAATGGAAAACTGTGTTGGTCAAAACATAGAAAAGGAGTGTTTTTTTCTTCCAGCCTCCAACTTGGGGAACGCTTCGGAAACGAAGAATACTTAGATCAATACATGGAGTTTTTGGATGGGTATTACTTTAATGCTTTTCAATTAGTAATGTTTCGATGGGATTGTTGAATTTATTAAATAAAAACATTTAATAATATTAGTTCTCAGTTTTTGGGGTAGGGGTGAGAAATACCATAAACGTAAGTGCACATACCATTATCCATTGTATTTAGAAGTAAAATTGCATTATTTTTATGCACATATTTTCAATACATACGTAGTATGTATAGCATGTACTAGACTTGTTTGGTTTCGTCTACGAAG